AGCATCATCGTCATCATCATCAGCATCATCATCATCAGCATCATCATCATCATCATCATCATCATCATCAACAGCATCATCAGCATCATCACCAGCATCAGCATCATCATGAGCAGCAGCATCATCAGCATCATCAGCATCATCAGCATCATCATCAGCATCATCATAAGCATCATCATCATCAGCATCATCAGCATCATCAGCATCAGCATCATCATCATCAGCAGCAGCAGCAGCATCAGCATCATCATAATCATAATCATCATCAGCAGCAGCAGCAGCATCAGCATCAGCATCAGCATCATCATCATCATTTGCAGCAGCAGCATCATCCGCATCATCATCAGCAGCATCATCATCATCAGCAGTAGCATCATCATCATCATAATCCTTCTCCTCGTCTTCCTCCGTTTCATCCTCCTCCGCATCATCATCATCATCCTCCTCATCATCAGCATCATCAGCATCATCATCATCATCATCATCAGCATCATCAGCATCATCATCACCACCACCAGCATCATCATCATCATCACCATCATCATCATCAGCAGCAGCATCATCATCATCATCAGCAGCAGCATCAGCATCATCATCGCATCATCATCAGCAGCAACAGCAGCAGTCTGTCAGCATCATCATTATCAGCATCAGCAGCATCATTATCAACAGCAGCATCATCATCAGCATCGTCATCACCATCGTCATCAGCTACATCATGGTCATCAGCATCATTATCAGCATCATCATCTGCAGCATCAGCATCATCATCATCATCATCAGCATCGTCATCACCTGCATCAGCACAATCATAATCAGCACCATCATCATCATCATCATCATCATCATCAGCAGCAGCAGCAGCAGCATCAGCATCCATCATCGGCATCTGCATCAGCATCATCATCATCAGCAGCATCATTATCAGTATCATCATCCTGCCCCTCATCCTCCTCCTGCTCATCCTCCTCATCATCCTCGTCTTCCTCCACCTCCTCCTCCTCCTCATGTTCCTCATCCTCCCCCGTTCCTCCTCAATGCTGCCATGCGCCCTCTTCGCACGCCTCCTTCTCATGTGCCTGACGTTATCCTGCTTCAGATAAGCAAACATGCGTCCCATCAACCCCGCCACTCTACTCACACAAGTTGGCTCCCATACACAGGGTTAAGAACATGCCGAAATATCATGTTGGGTGCTCCATCAAAACAATGAGGTGTTGCGAAACTTTCAAGATCGAGGGCGGTAAAGAGAAGCAGAGTTAAACAAAAACCTACGGATACAGAATAGTGCGTTTTCCACCTCAATCCTCACCCCCGCACCGACGGCACAAGCCCAAGTTCGCACGAACATGAGGTTCATTCTTCCGAATAAACGAACTTTTGCATCAACAACTCCGCCGCCGTATTCACAAGCTGGACCACACACGCACACATAGACTCAAGGAAGAGTCCGCTGGAGAATAGATCTTGGTTGTGTGTCCCCACAAGGTCCAGGTATATGAGATTATGAGCTCGCCGAAAATATGATAGCGCGCTGAATCACGAACTCGGCATGTTACACGTGATCCAAGAGCTGATATAACGTTTCGTGGTACGTTTAAGCACGAGACGTCATACGCCGCCGTTCCAGCTCAAAACGCCAACGAGTTAGTAAAATCACGGCAAACATCTTGGCGTCGCGGCCCTACGAGTGGCGACAGGGCGTAGAAAGTCTGAAAATAACGATGCGCGCGCGCGTCTAAGCCCGCCCGAGCACGCAGAAACACTCTAGGCCTCGCAGCCGAAAGGAAATCTTTGCGCATTACTTTTCATTGAAGGGTCAGCGCAGGCCGCAGTAAGATCCACTCGGCCGCACAAAAAGACCAACTGGCCGCACAGAAGACCCGTCGCGGGCCAGGGGGCGGGGGGCGGGGGCGTCGGCGTCGAGGTGGGCGCCCGGCGCCCATCGCAGCAGGGGCGGGCCCGGCGAGCTGCCTCGCCCGCGGCAAGGAGGACAGCCGAGTCAACGCGGCAGACCAGAACGTCAGGGGGGATCGCCGATCCGGGCGCCCGCAGCCCGCTGGCGGTCGCCAGGGCTGGCCAGGCGCCCATCGGCGCGGACCTGGCCGCCGTGCACCGGGCATGAAGAATGCGCGCGCAGTGGGCAGCGGGACGCACGTCGAGCCCGAGCGCGCGGCCGGCCGCCCCCAGGGGCCGGCCCAGCTCCTGGAGGCCGCGGGGCTGCTCGGCCCAGCACGCGATGTCTCGGCCCCGCGGGGGGTCGGGGCGCGACTGCGGCTGCACGCCGGACAGCGGGAGGCACTTCTTCCAGGGAGCACGGCGCGCCGCCTGCCTGCCCGAGAGGCAGCTCGCCAGACTCCACGGGCGGGCGCGCCCGCGGCGCAGGGGGGCCCAGGGCCAGGCGTGGCCGCGCAGGCACGCCCACGCTTCTGGGCCCCCGCCCAACCGAGCCGCCAGGGCACGACGACCGCGCGCTCGAGGGCCCCCCCTCGGAGTACAGGCTGGGCTCGCGGGCCCTGCCCGTCCTGTCACCCGCGGGGGCGACGCGGCCCGAGGGGTCGCCAGGCAGCTCGCCGACTGGCGGGAGCCCAGCAGCAGGGGGGGGGCACGCACGGCCGCCGCCGGGGTGGGAAGGAGCAGGCTTGGGCCGCTCGGCTGCCGGCCGTCAGCTGACGGAGCGGCCGCGGCGGGGGCGACCGTCGCAGGCACCGCGGGCCGGAATCAGCAGAGGGGGGGAGCATGGGCGGCCGGCCGGAATAAGCAGAGGGGGTGGCACAGGAGGAGAGAGGAAGCACGGGGGCAGGGTGGGGGGGGCACGGTCGGTCGGTCGGAATAAGCAGAGGGGGGGGCACAGGGGAAAGGGAGTGGGCGGCACGAGGGGCCACGGTCGGGCAGGGGGGGGGGGGGGGGCACGGTCGGTCGGTCGGCATAACCAGAGGGGGGCCACGGGGGGAAGTGGGAGGGGGGGGTACGCGGGGCCACGGATGGGCATTGGGGGGGAGGAGGGCACGGTCGGTCGGTCGGAATAAACAGAGGGGGTGGGCACGGGGCAGCACACATCCCAGCACACAGACACAGGCCAGCACCGAGCACGCCGAGCACACATCCCAGCACACCCAGGTGGGCCACGGCCGGCGCATATCACAGCACACCGAGGCAGTACACCGACACATCCCAGCACGCATCCCAACACACCCATGTGGGCCACGGCCAGCACATATCGCAGCACATCACAGCACGCCCATACATCCCAGCACACCAAGCACACAGTCCAGCACATATCCCAACACATATCCCAGCACACGGAGGCAGCACACATCCCAGAACACCGAAGGAGTACACCGACACAGGCCAGCGCCGAGCACACCGAGCACACATACCAGCACACTCAAGGGGGCCACGGCCAGCACAGATCGCAGCACACCGAGGCAAACACATATTTCAGCATACGGAGGCAGCACAAGCCAGCACACACCCTGGCACACCTCCACACATCCCAGCACCCCCAGCGCACATCCAGGAAGGCCACGGGACACATCCCAGCGCGCAGCCTGGCCCAGTACGCCGAAACAGCCACGAATCCCTGCACACGAAGCCTAGCACATATCCCGGGCACGGTCGGCCGGCCGAAACAATGCAGTGCGAGATCACACCGGCAGGCATGATAATCAAGCCCTACTGGCAGGGGGGCTGCTACGCCGGAGTTGCCCGCGGATTAAGCGGGATTGAGCGGGAACAACCCGGATGGAGCCGGATTTCGGACCAGGGCCAAGTCAGAATCTGACCTCCCAGGAGGAGGAGGAGGAAGAGGAGGAGGAGGAGGAGGAGGAGGAGGAGGAGGAGGAGGAGGAGGAGGAGGAGGAGGAGTTGTTTACAAGGAGGATCCCCCCCATCCGCTCGCCGCCGAGCGCCTGCCCCGAGACGAGACGGGGCCCCGGGCCGCCGCTCTCGCTGCAGCAGGGCGGCTGCCAAGACCCGAGGAGGCGGAGGAGGAGGAGGAGGAGGAGGAGGAGGAGGAGGAGGAGGAGGAGGAGGAGGAGGAGGAGAGGAGGAGAGGCCCCGGCGCCCGGCGACCCAGCACTCCCCGGGGTCGCCAGCCCGGCCTCGCCCGCGGGGTCGCCAGCGCCTGAAGTCAGTCGGATACGGCGCTCGCTCCGGGGAGGATGGGAGGGGGGGGGAAGGGGAGGGGAAGAAAATGGGAAGGGAAGGGAAGGGAAGGGAAGGGAAGGGAAGGAAAGGGGAGGGGAAGAGGGGAAGAGGGGAAGAGGGGAAGAGGGGAAGAGGGGAAGAGGGGAAGAAAAGGAGGAGGACGAGGAGGAGGAGGAGGAGGAGGAGGAGGAGGAGGCGGGGGAGGAGGGCTGGGGCTCATCGTCCCATATCCTTCCTGTTCCTGCCCCGCGGCCGACAGGCGGCCTCTGGACACCGAGGAGAGCGAAGAGCCTCCGGCGCACACCACGATTTTCCCCGAACCGTCGCAGGACGGGACAAGGAGAAGACCGAGGCCCCACAGGACACGCTTTTCCATAATGTGAACCCCCAAAGATCTCGAACTCTTCCCCGGGACAGGCCTTGCCTGAGCAGGTTTGCGCACTCCCGGGACCCAGGAGTACTGCGGGAGGCCGAAAATGGCCCAAAAAGAGCCCAGGGGTCCTGACCATTTCCCCGGGGATAGCGTGTGGCGTCCTGGATTTGTGTTTGCCCATCCTGGGCCCCGAAACCTATCACTGAGGCCGAAATGCAGCAACAAAAATGGCTGCAGACAAATCAAATATTCGAAGGCCTGGGGGAGAGGCAGATATCCAGACTCGCCCTTATCCCCAGCCCCAAGAGGCGCAAGCCAAAAGCAATGACAATCTTAGGGATGAGCCCTCAGAAGCTGAGAGAATTCTTAAGTTCGGCATCGAAGTACGGTGATAGAGAATAGAGGTACAGGGATGTGGGGATATGTTTCAACTGGCAGAGAGAGGTGGAACGCCCCACTCCCCCCCCCCCACCGAGGCTCAGCGCGCCGCCGCCGGGGCAGTGCTGCTGCGCACGCCGGCGGCGAGCAGGTCCCGCAGCAGGGCCACGCAGGGTTCCAGCGACTCCGCGCGCGGGGGGGGGCGGTCGCGCGCTGGCGAGCAGAAGGGTCGGGCGGGTGGCAAGGGGGGGGGGGGGGAACCCCACTGGCGGGTGAAGAAAAGGGCCGTCACGGGACCCTCTGCGGCCCCATCTGGGCCCCTGCTGGCCCCAAAAGGGGCCCCAAAGAGCCCCGTTTGGGGCCCCGCTCCGCCCCTGCACGACGAAGGCAAGAAAAGCACCGAACTGCCCTGAGATCTGGGCGTCGGGCGTCGCCTCGTCAGTTGTTCTCTTTTTCTCGTGCTCTCTCTCTCTCTCTCTCTCTCTCTTTTTTTTTCTCTCTCTCTCTCTCTCTCTCTCTCTCTTTCTCTCTCTCTCCGTGGCTGATCTTTCCAGGGTGCGGCGGACGGAGGCCAGTCGAGGGGTGCATCTCCCTATGGTGAGTGTTCTAGCTACGTGCACTGTAGCCCTGATGGCAGGGAGCGCGTTTCACGGGCGCTTGCCTTGGGAACATTCGGCGGCGCGTCTGAGAAGGGGGGGGGCCCGAACATTCAGCGCCGTCGAACAGAACCACGAAGACTCCCCTCCCCCCTCCCCGCCCTCCCTGAACCCCCTCCCAGCGCCGGCGACAGCGCGCCGGCGGCGGCGGCGGCGGGCGACAGCGCCGACGGCGGCGACATGGCTACGATGACAGGACGAAGACACCGACGACAATAGGGTCCCCTGCAGTCCTCTGTACTCGACCCAGAGAGTC